TTTATTTGATGATGACTTCTGATTTGATTCGGTTCTTGCTTTCATCTTGTCAGGCTTTGATTTCGATTTGTTGGCTTCCTGCATCCGTCCTTGCTTGGGAGACTTCTTTGGGGTCTCCTTCTGCCATCTTTCCTCCTCGCAGACCATCCATTCCACTTGGGTTGGATGTTGCTCTGTTGTTCTGGGGTTGGTTCCCTCTTCCATTGCATAAGACTCAGGGTTCAGATTTATAAACAGTTCATCAACCGCTTCAGGTCACTTTGCCACTTCTCATTCCCACGCTTCTCTATGTGCCAGGTCCAATTCTTGTTTGATGGCGTTTCATATCTGCTACCTCCATTAGGTTGTGCAGGATCCATCCTCTGGCTTTTGGGAAGAGGAAAGTCTTGGTACCAACCTTGGTGATCCCCCCAACGGGGTCATATTTGTATTCCCATGTAGTTTTACCTTTATGATGGTGGCATTGAGCCATTGTGTGGCTGGTCTGGTAACAGAACTGGCACACTTGTTTGGCATCCTCCTTTTTGATGTATACTACCCTGTCAATGCTGGGCAGGCGGATGAATTGGGGTAGAGCAATTTTGTTTGGTTTCATCCTGGGTGCCAGTTTGTACAGCGCTTCCACTGTCCAAGGGCTGAGGCACTTTGCAATGTAATTGCCACTGGCTTGCCAAAATTCTCATACTTCCCCAGAGTATGACAATCCAGTCCAGATCACTTCATGCACCCACTCCTGTTTGCTATTGGTGGGGAGATTCTGGAAGGTTACCCACCTTGCAGTTTGGTTAGTGTATCTGGTCGGCTCCATTTACAGATATATCCCATGTATTTGATGCCGATTTTGAGGAGTTTCTTGCAGTCCAATTTGCCTGGGATTGCTATATCTATATAGCCTCGTTTGGGTACCCAGTGGTGATCAAAGTCCCCTCCAGCTAGGACTTCGTCAAGCTTCTGATAAATTGACATTATCAGGTCGGACCATTCCTCCTCCATTAGCTGCAGGTGGATTCAGATAGCGTCCTTTAGGTATGATTTTGGTGCCTGGCAGTCTATAAAGCCCCCGCTGATCAATTGACAGATGTACTCAATGTGGCTCCCTGCTCCATTCCAGATGTTGTCTTTGGTATGCGCTGCCGCGGCACTGTAGGATTTGGTTTTCGCGCTTGGTTTGGGTACTTCAGCAGGAGGCTTCCCCTTCAAAATCCAGCTTACCAATTCATTGAGGCTGAACCCCTGGTTGAGGAACGCTTTGATCTGGTGAATGCTGATACCTCGGCGGTTGATACTTTTAGCCATTTGCACTCCAATCTCAAAGCTCTGCCACTCTAGGGCATCCATCAGTGAGAACCCCAGTTGGTACCACTTGAGGGCGGATTCTGGGCCACACGTTGGGTGGAGGTATTTTTGAAGGACCTCCAGCATAATTGAGCTACGCTGGCACCAGTCCCTTACTGTGACACTATTCCAGCCTCCATCTGTAAATACTCATGCCATGGCTGCTGGAACACCCGCTTCACTCCATTGGAACACTTCAGAGGGGTGAAACCTTCAGCAGCATATGGGGCCACTAGCATCAGTTATGGGAAGGATTGCTTCCAATCCTGGATGGTTTTAATGCGGATTACCGCTTTGAGCCATTCTCAGCCCAAGTCTGGGGTCATGACCCCTTTCATCGCTGTTGCTGCCTGTGGTGAAATCTCATAATCCATCCACAGTTGGGCTGATTCATGGGTGAACCCCGCTGCATCCCAGTCTGCAGCTTCAGCGACTGTTGCGGCATCACACCAGATTTTCCATTTTTTGATTAGGAATGGTTGGCCTCTAAGGGTTTTGTGAATAGGTTTAGTCACCCCCAGCTCCGCCCATTTGCACACTAGGTCCATACTGGCCCCCGCTCAGAACCAGTATTTCATATCCATTGGTGTAAATGTGTTGGCGGACCAGTTGATGGCCTCTTCTGGTGACTAATCCCGGAAAGGTCCCCACTCCACCACTTTTTCCTTTGTCCAGCCCGCTTTCATCAGGTCTGATGCAGTGGCTGGTGGAATTTGGGTGGGTACGCCCAGTGTAAGGCCTTGGTGGCCTTGAACCCAGCCAGGATCCATGGTAGTGCCTCCTCTGGGGAGAACGTGGTATTATACCATTCCAGTGCCATGTCCACTGGAATGGTGTGTCAGGCCCATTTGGGGGCAGTTGAGGCGTCCAGGAATCATTTCGCATATTTGGCTAAATCTGTTGGGTTGAGGCCCAAGCTCCTGATGGCTTGAGTGTATCGTGCTGTAATGCCTGCCTTGTTATACTCCATCGCATTTAAAAGGTCGATGTCAGCCTCCATCTAGGCCTTCACATCCACCGTTTTAAAATCTTTGCATATTGTGGCCTCGATCACCTTGTTCTCCATGGGGATTTTCATCCATTCCAGGGCGTCTTTGGTCCAAACTTGTGACGCTTTGAATAGTACCACCATGTCAATCAAGATTTGGGTATCAAGCCAGCGTTTGGCTGCTCTGGAAGAAAACTTGTAGTCTCGCCACATAGCTGTGACAGCTGGTTTGATACCTTTGGAGACCCACTGAGTTGCCATAGAGTATGGGAACTGGAAGGCCACCCATTGTTTGACTTCATGGGTAGACACGCCTCAGCGCGCCATGTCTGACTGGATCAGGGTATATTTTACTGGGGCCCTGGCCACCAACTTGACTGCTGTCAGTGTTTCAGCCCCATCTGGTAGTACTTTTAGTTTTTTTGCCAAATTTTTGAGTGTCTGATCCCTCAGATTTGGTCCCTGATATAGCTTCAACCCCATTGGGGTTGGTCCCCAATGGTTCATATTGGTTTGGCGATTGGCTCTATGCTAATCTAATCCCCTTTGACAGCTTAATGTTGGGGTTTGTTCCCAATTGTCCAATCAGGTTTGGCCATCGATTCTTGGTTGAGCTAGAACCCCTTGTTGACATGAATCATTTGGGATTGCGCCAATGGTGTATCTGGGATCACGATTAACAATTTGCTCATGTTGTCAAATCAATTTTGGTTGGGGACTGTTTGCCCCCTGACTGGGCCTTGTTGGAACTGGTGCCTGACTTCTTCTTCACTCGAATACTCCAACCAAATTTGGTAAGTTTCTTCTTGTTGGCAGAAAACTTTTAATGGCATTGCTCTGTTAGTTTGAGCTGCTGATTTTTGTCAATCAAATTTGAGTCAGTTTCAGATCCAACCAATACTTCATCCAGGTTTTTTGTTTTTTCCACAAAAATTTTCTCACCCTGTGAGGCCCCAATCCCCTCTACTGATTGAGGTTCAGTGGGGAATATTTCCAACACCACTGTTCTTGGTGTTAGGCCTCACTCCCCAAAGGTGTCTCTTGCCATCTGGTTTTTGGTGGTCACTGATCCTAGGGAGTTGACCCCATTATCTGCGCTAGTTGCAAGGGCACCATGACCCTTTGACATGTTTGCAAGTTTCATCATTGTTCATGTCACCAAATCATTACTTGCATATATGGGTTGTATTGCCCTTCCCCATTATTTGTCATGTGGGGGCTTGGGCCAGCAGGAAGTTCATTAGATGGTACATCCATCATAGCATCCTTCATATTATTGTTATTTAATATCAGCGCAGGCAAGTTGTCCATTTCTATGTGCTGTGCACAGATGGGCAGATTGACTTCCCTACGCTTGGGTGGTTGGCCATGGTTCATTGCTCTATAATTTCAGTGCACACTGGCAGTTGGTTGCTCTCTCAATTCTTGTTCAGTTCACTTTTTGATATAAAAAGTGATGTATATGAGAGAGAAAAAAGTCAATTATGCTAGAGGAGGTGTTTGTAAAATCAATTGGGTTTTGATTTAGCTTTGATTTGGATTAACTTGCTAATTAGCCAAATAACCACTCACCACTTAACAAAACCATTTAAAAATCAAATCAACTGAATATCCAACTGCTCAGTTGTAATGTTATACTGATTTCCATCAAAAACATATATAATTTTTATTTGTTACATATAAAACTTTTTATTTTACTATAAAACAATAATTTTTAAAATTCATAAACCTTCTCCATGAAAAAATACTTATATGTGCCAACTTTCATAGTGATTGATTAAATGGTGTCAGAGTCTATAAAGCACAAATATACCAATATACAGATATACCAACGTCCATTTTTATATATATAGATAGGGGTCAATGCTGCTACTGCAGCATCCTCCTCTGTTTGAAAGACTACATTGAAATAGCCTTTAAAAGGGTGTAAATCATTAAAACCAGCTGGCATGAAGGCAGCAGTGGCAAGTTTGATTATTACTTTATCAGCATATGGGAATAAATCCCCAAAGTCAACATGGAGGCAAAATTGTATAGTGGATCTAGGGAGGGCAAGAGGATGGGGGCAAATTGGGTGGATGCATGCAAGGTGAAGTGCTAAGCCCTGTGGAGGGACAAAATGGCTTATAGATTCTTGCATATTATTCAAGTCTATCCAAATGTGTTTCCCTGATGGGCAGAAAATTCTGGGAGGTGGATCACCGCTGCCCCACACTGGAGTAGCAGGCAGAAGATCTGAGGATATCTATTGGATAATGAATGTGGTCAGACAGATGTAGATAATTTAACCTTTTTGTAAAATCACTTGAAAATGAGATTGAGCAGAAAGAAAAGCTAATTTTCTTATTAATTAATATATTTTATTAGTTTTAGTAATTCAAGATGTGATAATTTTTATTGTAGTTTTTTCATTTCTATGTATGGCTTTCATATACTCTTCTGAATTATAATTGTCTTATAATTTTTTATATATTTTTCTCTATTTAAAAATTACTATCTTATTACCAACATGAGTATTAATGTAAGTAGACAAGAGATTTATATAACATGCCTATTAAGATAACATCTCTTAAGTTAAAGATATTAACAGATAACAAACTTCGTTGGATTGATATAAGCTTAAATCGGATATGGAATCTTGGCTTTATACTAAAAAAACAAGAAAAGTATTAATCTATCCCCTGTGGTCCAGTGGCTAGGATACCACGCTCTCACCGTGGCGGCCAGGGTTCGATTCCCTGCGGGGGAGCACTATTTTTTGCCCGTGATATCCTTCCTCTTGAGTTGAGATCCAATTGTACTAAAAAGGATAGTCACAATTATCTCCACCACTCTAATTTACAGTAATCTATAAATTATTATATAGTAACTAATCCCTAAAAGTCCATTATTCTTTTTAAGTTCTTTAAAGTTATTTCTAGTGTGATGATTTTTATAGACTTTCGAACCCTAAAAACATTTGATATTAAGAAATTATTTAAACAACTTAACATATATACATTGCTATGACAGCTCAAATAATTTCATTGCATGATTTTAATGATCTTAACAAATATTATACAATATATATATAAAACAAAGTCGTGTTAGTTACACCATTTATAACTCAAGAACGGCTGGACCGATTTTTATGATCTTTGCTTTGTTGGATTTGTCTCCGCCCCGAATAGCAGAATAAATTTTAAAAATACTATTTTAATAGTAAAATAAAAAGTTTTATATGTAACAAGTGAAAATCCTATATATACTTCGATGGTATTCGCTATATTGTTACAGCTGAGCAGTTTGATATTCAGCTGATTTGATATTTTAAATGGTTTTAAGTGGTTAGTGGTCATTCGGATATTTAACAAGTTTATCTAAATCAAAACTTTGAATCAAAAGTCCAATTGATTTTAAAATACCTCCTCTAGCATAATCGGCTCAGCTTTTGGCTCTAAACTTCAACTCTATAAAAGGTCAGTTGTTCGAATCTTGGCGTAATCTATATATATAAAAGCAAATGTGTATGTGTGTGTGCGATACCCAGCCAAAACTAGAACATATAGAGCTCTGAAAAGTTGGCTATAGGTGGGCGGGAGGGGGTCCGTGTGCACCTTGAAGCCCGATTTTTAGTTTCATA